ACATGGGAGCAGCCAATGATATAAGGCAATTAATAACAAAAGCAAAGAAACACATTGACAACAATACAATAATAGTGGGGGACTTTAACACCCCCCTGACTGAAATGGACAGATCATCTAAGCAAAAGATCAACAAGGAAATAAAGACTTTAAATGACACACTGGACCAAATGGACTTCACAGACATATTCAGAACATTCCATCCCAAAGCAACGGAATACACATTCTTCTCTAGTGCCCATGGAACATTCTCCAGAATTGATCACATCCTAGGTCACAAATCAGGTCTCAATCGGTACCAAAAGATTGGGATCATTCCCTGCATATTTTCAGACCACAATGCTTTGAAACTAGAACTCAACCACAAGAGGAAAGTCGGAAAGAACTCAAATACATGGAGGCTAAAGAGCATCCTACTAAAGAATGAACGGGTCAACCAAGAAATTAAAGAAGAATTAAAAAAATTCAGGGAAACCAATGAAAATGAAAACACAACTGTTCAAAATCTTTGGGATACAGCAAAGGCAGTCCTGAGAGGAAAGTATATAGCAATACAAACCTTTCTCAAGAAACAAGAAAGGTCTCAAATACACAACCTAACCCTACACCTAAAGGAGCTGGAGAAAGAACAGCAAATAAAGCCTAAACCCAGCAGAAGAGAAATCATAAAGATCAGAGCAGAAATCAATGAACTAGAAACCAAAAGAACAGTAGAACAGATCAACGAAACTAGGAGCTGGTTCTTTGAAAGAATTAACAAGATTGATAAACCCCTGGCCAGACTGATCAAAAAGAAAAGAGAAATGACCCAAATCAACAAAATCATGAATGAAAGAGGAGAGATCACAACCAACACCAAAGAAATACAAACAATTATAAGAACATATTATGAGCAACTCTATGCCAGCAAATTAGATAACCTGGAAGAAATGGATGCACTCCTAGAGATGTATCAACTACCAAAATTGAACCAGGAAGAAATAGAAAACCTGAACAGACCTATAACCACTAAAGAAATTGAAACAGTCATCAAAAATCTCCCAAGAAACAAAAGCCCAGGGCCAGATGGCTTCCCAGGGGAATTCTATCAGACATTTCAAGAAGAATTAATACCTATTCTCCTGAAACTGTTCCAAAAAATAGAAATGGAAGGGAAACTTCCAAACTCATTTTATGAGGCCACCATTACCTTGATCCCAAAACCAGACAAAGACCCCATCAAAAAAGAGAATTACAGACCAATATCCTTGATGAACATGGATGCAAAAATTCTCACCAAAATACTAGCCAATAGGATCCAACAGTACATTAAAAGGATTATTCACCATGACCAAGTGGGATTTATTCCTGGGCTGCAAGGCTGGTTCAACATCCGCAAATCAATCAACGTGATACAATACATTAACAAAAGAAAGAGCAAGAATCATATGATCCTCTCAATAGATGCAGAAAAAGCATTTGACAAAGTACAACATCCTTTCTTGATCAAAACTCTTCAGAGTATAGGGATAGAGGGCACATACCTCAATATCATAAAAGCCATCTATGAAAAACCTACAGCGAATATCATTCTCAATGGGGAAAGGCTGAGAGCTTTTCCCCTAAGGTCAGGAACGCGGCAGGGATGTCCACTCTCACCACTGCTATTCCACATAGTATTAGAAGTCCTAGCCACAGCAATCAGACAACAAAAAGAAATCAAAGGCATCCAAATCGGCAAAGAGGAAGTCAAACTCTCACTCTTTGCAGATGATATGATACTGTATGTGGAAAACCCAAAAGACTCCACCCCAAAACTGCTAGAACTCATCCAGGAATTCAGTAAAGTAGCAGGATATAAAATCAATGCACAGAAATCAGTGGCATTTCTATACACCAACAACAAGACAGAAGAGAGACAAATCAAGGAGCCTATCCCATTTACAATTGCACCCAAAACCATTAGATACCTAGGAATAAATCTAACCAAAGAGGCAAAGGATCTGTACTCAGAAAACTATAAAATACTCATGAAAGAAATTGAAGAAGACACAAAGAAATGGAAAAACGTTCCATGCTCATGGATTGGGAGAACCAACATTGTGAAGATGTCAATGCCACCTAGAGCAATCTACACATTCAATGCAATCCCCAACAAAATACCATCCACTTTTTTCCAAGAAATGGAACAAATAATCCTAAAATTTGTATGGAACCAGAAGAGACCCAGAATAGCCAGAGGAATACTGAAAAAGAAAAGCAAAGCTGGCGGCATCACAATTCCGGACTTCCAGCTCTATTACAAAGCTGTCATCATCAAGACAGTATGGTACTGGCACAAAAACAGACACATAGATCAATGGAACAGAATCGAGAGCCCAGAAATGGACCCTCAACTCTATGGTCAACTTATTTTTGACAAAGCAGGAAAGAATGTCCAATGGCAAAAAGACAGTCTCTTCAACAAATGGTGTTGGGAAAATTGGACAGCCACATGCAGAAGAATGAAACTGGACCATTTCCTTACACCACACACAAGAATAGACTCCAAATGGTTGAAAGACCTAAACGTGAGACAGGAGTCCATCCAAATCCTAAAGGAGAACACAGGTAGCAACCTTTTCGACCTTAGCCGCAGCAACTTCTTCCTAGAAACATCGCCAAAGGCACGGGAAGCCAGGGCAAAAATGAACTATTGGGATTTCATCAAGATAAAAAGCTTTTGCACAGCAAAAGAAACAGTCCACAAAACCAAAAGACAACCGACAGAATGGGAGAAAATATTTGCAAACGACATATCAGATAAAGGGCTAGTATCCAAAATCTATAAAGAACTTATCAAACTCAACACCCAAAGAACAAATAATCCAATCAAGAAATGGGCAGAAGACATGAACAGACATTTCTCCAAAGAAGACATCCAAATGGCCAAAGGCACATGAAAAAGTGCTCAACATCGCTCGGCATCAGGGAAATCCAAATCAAAACCTCAATGAGATACCACCTCACACCCGTCAGAATGGCCAAAATTAACAGGTCAGGGAACGACAGATGTTGGCGGGGATGTGGAGAAAGGGGAACCCTCCTACACTGTTGGTGGGAATGCAAGCTGGTGCAACCCCTCTGGAAAACAGTATGGAGGTTCCTCAAACAGTTGAAATTAGAGCTACCGTTCGATCCAGCAATTGCACTACTGGGTATTTACCCCAAAGATACAAATGTAGGGACCCGAAGGGGTACGTGTACCCCAATGTTTATAGCAGCAATGTCCACAATAGCCAAACTGTGGAAAGAGCCAAGGTGCCCATCGACAGATGAATGGATAAAGAAGAGGTGGTATATATACACAATGGAATATTATGCAGCCATCAAAAGGAATGAGATCTTGCCATTTGCAACGACGTGGATGGAACTGGAGGGTGTTATGCTGAGTGAAATAAGTCAATCAGAGAAAGACATGTATCACATGACCTCACTGATATGAGGAATTCTTAATCTCAGGAGACAAACTGAGTGTTACTGGAGTGGTTGGGGGTGGGAGGGATGGGGTGGCTGGGTGATAGACATTGGGGAGGGTATGTGCTACGGTGAGCGCTGTGAATTGTGCAAGACTGTTGAATCACAGATCTGTACTTCTGAAACAAATAACGCAACATATTTTAAGAAAAAAGGAAAAGAAGAAGATAACAGGAGAGGAAGAAAAGGGGAGTATGTCAGAGGGGGAGACGAACCATGAGAGATGATGGACTCTGAAAAACAAACTGAGGGTTCTAGAGGGGAGGGGGTAGGGGGATGGGTTAGCCTGGTGAAGAGTATTGAGGAGGGCACGTTCTGCATGGAGCACTGGGTGTTATGAACAAACAATGAATCATGGAACACTGCACCAAAAACTAATGATGTAATATATGGTGATTAACATAACAATAAATAAATTTAAAAAAAAAGAATAAAGAGCTGCCTTCATGAGGCGAGTATGGGGGAAATGGGAGGGACAGAGACAGGGCAGGGCAGGTGGGATTAGTGCTTTGAGGAAGAATCCAGGGGAGTCTCGAGATGGGGTGCCAGGGTGAAGGGCTCCTGTGTTACACAGGTGGTTTGGGAAGGTCTCCCTAAAGAGGGGAGTAGACTCTTGGGGGAGGTGAGAGGTGAGCATGAGGATATCACAGAAGAGCAGTGCAAAGGCCCTGAGGTGGGATCATGACTAGAAGGCTTGAGGAAGAGACAGGGGGTCATGGTGGTTAGAGTGGAGGAGGGGAGGGGAGGGAGTGGGGAGATCAGGTCAGAGCAGCAGGGCCGTGGGGGCCAATGAGGATGATGGCTGTCACTCTGAAGGAGGTGGGAAGCCAAGGGAGGATTTTGTGTAGAAGAGCAACATGACTTAGAGTTTCCTTCTGATGCTGCACTGGGAATAGACTGTGGGCAGCAATGGTGATGCTTCACCTTCACCTTCTGCTGAAGGCCAGTGAGGATGTCACGCAGTAACCCAGGGAAGGAGCCCTGGTGGCTTGGGCCAGGGGGTGGCAGTGGAAGTGGGGGGAATGAGTCACATCCTCACTCTGTCCTGAAGGTAGAGCCAGCAGGACTGGCAGGTGGATTCAATGTGGAAGACAAAATAAGAAGAAGAGTGAAGAATGAAGCCCCGAGTTTTGGCCTAGGCAAGTAGGAGAGTGGGGTTTTACATTTACCCAGGGGTGCTCCAAGCCGTGAAGACTCACGGAGAGGCGAGGACCCTGCAGCGCGGTTAACCGGCTAACGTTGCTCTTTGACGTCAACACGTGATGGAGCAGAGGACAGACGCACACAACCGTCTCCGGGGCGTGAAAAGGCTCCTGGCCGGCACCCCCTCACTGGAGAACCTCACCGTAACCTGAGTATTAATATCTGTGTGAAGAAACTGCGTATCGCCATGGAAGGCGGCCCAATGGAGCCAGAAAGAGGAGAATCACCAGGAGGGCTGGCCATGTCCACCCCTAACCTGAGAACACTGAGCATGAACAAGGTCCCTGGAGACTCAGTCTCACCTGTGACGGTGACGTTCAGGGCCCTGCTGCGGGCCAGGCCGTGGCCATTGTCCGCTGTGCAGTAGTAGCGCCCCGCATGGCTCCCCCCGACGGCAGGGATCTCCAGCTCTGCTCTCTGGGAACGCTGACGCTTGCTCCCCACACTCTCCCCTGTGTCCTCTCTGTGCCAGAAGAATGTGGTGTACCCTGTGCCTTCAGCCACGGAGCAGACAAGGACCAGACGCTCCCCTGCAAGCACCTGTCCCCCCTGGGGCTGGGTCTCCAGGAGCACTGCTGACACCGGGACACCTGCGTGAATGAGACAGGGCAGGTGAGGCCAGCTGAGGCCAGGTGAGGGCCCCCGGGATGCCTGCGTGAACACGAGAGGGCAGGTGAGGGCAGGGCTGGTACGTTGGATGGGGACACTCTTTATGTGCCTTGAAGATACACTCCAGCAGGGGCTGGCTTTGTAGCCTGTAGACTGTGGAGTTTGGACCTAGAACATCGCCAAATGTAAGAGTTCAATCCTGACACACGGAGCCCCGGGAGAGAAAAACTGGTTATCCCTGAAGAAGCCTGTGAGTTTTGTCTGATGTCCTAGCTGGCAGTCTGGATGGTCCGCAGGGACAGGTGGCAGAGAGAGTGGCCCCCGAGCCGGGCTGGACCACTCCCATTTCCAGGAGTCCTACTTTTGTACCTGAGACCAGACGATACTTACCATATTTATTGTGCGTCGCATGTGGTGGGCATTCCCATTATTTGCTGCTATTGATTAGGAAGAGGCTGAGGATGATCTCCTTAATAGTTTGCCCCAAGATCTGGCCTTCTAGAATGTGTCAGCTCAGGACACCTTGCTTTTTGTTTGTTTTCCCTAACTCTTGTATCTAACTTCATGAACCACTCTATTATTTCGAGGTGCTAGAGTTCCAAAGGAAGTCTGAATTTTTAGAAAGATAGTGGTAGAAATGAGCCCTGTATTTCTTTTATTATAGTACCTGACTTCTCAGTGCCAGCCTGCATCCATCAGGATGACTAAATCCATCAGTGCTGGGCAGTCTGTCCCTGCACAGGCCACGGGGAGTTGTCGGGGAGGGTGCCACAGCCCCAGCTCTCCAGCGGCTCTCTGACACTCACCCTGCACACGGACCTGCATCGGGAGGCTGTGTTTGCGGATGCTGGGGACCCCAGCTGCAGCTGCACACCAATACGACCCCGAGTCCTCTCTCCAGATGGCTGTGATCTGGAGTTCCGGGGACCTGCTCCAGTTGGATAGCAAGACCCTGTGGTCCCTGAAGAAGATGAAGGACAGCAGAGCATCCGACCGCTCGAGGGGCAGCCGTGTCTGACAGCTCAGGTTTACAGAGCCGCCCTCTGTAGGCTGGGGGGGTGTGACTTCCAGCTTTGGACGTGGAAATAGTTCTGGAGAGAAGAGGTAAACCGAGTTCTCAGAATGCGGTACTTAGAGCCCCGGGATGGGCAGGCTTGGCTTCTTGGTCCCAGGGAACTTCAGACAGACACACAGCAAGACAGAGACTCATCGACCCCACAATCCCATCGTCCTGCCCCAGCTCCCAGTACAATGACCCCGCTCACTGTGTTTGCTGGAGGACCTACGCCTCTCATTATCCAGAGTTGGGGCATCAACGTATGGATCCCCCATCACACCCAGCTCCCCACCCTGACATTACTCAGCAATCTATATGAAATGAAGAGCTTACCTTGAATTTTAATAATTCTCTTATTTGACCTATAGGTGTAATGATTTCTCTCCAGAAATCCAATGCATTGGTAATAGCCACTGTTGTTCAAACTGGCTTGTGGTATCAGAAGATCCTGGCCTTTATCAGAGGTAGAGATAACTTTCCCATTCCAGGTGTATTTCACAGCGCCCAGTTTCTCTCTCCCCTTCGCCTGGCATCTCAGAACGAGCGTGTCACCTTCAAACATGGAGTGTGGAGCCTGAAGGATGAGCCATTCTGGAAAACACACAGAGACGAGAGCCTGTCACTCAGGGACACCCCTTTCCTCCGTGCAGCTTGGCTCACGAGGCTCGACTGGTTCTCTTTTCTCTTCCACAGGATTTAGGTTCCTGCCCCAGGCTCACTCATTTCCTTCCAAATCCTCATGACCTGTTTTGTACATAAGTCCCAAACACACCAACCCTGTTTCACACTCACGGACAGATTCCTAGTATGAGGATTCTAACGTGGGGACGGAGAGCCGAGTGGGAGGTGAGCGACGCTCAGACATTGTTGAACACGGTTAAAAATCGCCACCAGCCTGCTCCCCGGGTCCCAGAGCCAGAGTCACCGTGGAGGCAACAGACTAAAAAGTGTCACTGTGTGCTGGGGTTCGTTCTGCAGCAGGCTTGTGGTCAGACACAGACCCAGGGGTGAGGGATGGGGAATGGGTCCCATGCGGACATGCTCCTGCTCTTCAGATCCTCGTGAGAGGTCAGTTCTCTCCCCTCTGTCTAAGGCGACTGAGGGATGGCCTCTCCCCCAGCGCAGGGCTGTGCAGTGGTCCAAATCATTCTCTGCAAAGCAGGCAAATCGTGACAGGAAGAGTGGTGCCCCCGCGATGGGAAAGCAGGAGTAGAGAAGGGACAGGTGTCAGGACAGGTGGGGACACAGGCCTGGGGCGGAGACTCCCCTCCTCCAAACTCTTGTTGGAGGCCACTTTTTGCACCTGCTCGGTGCTCAGTGCATTCTTGTCTGTGTCATTTCTCCTGCGGGTGGCGGCTGTGCATGCCCGGAGGGCCGGGGCTAAGGTGGCTTCTGTTTTGAACCCCCTAAAATGAACTCCTTCCTCCACTGTGTAAATGCGTAGGGAGGTCTACTGATTACCGTTAGATGGTGAAACTCTAATGTCAAGAGTACTGTGAAAAACACCGGTAGACACGAGGAGCACTAAGGACATGAGGCTGGAGGAGGTCGGGGGTTAGAGTAGCAGGAAGGAGCCTGGGTCTTGCCAGATCCTGGGGACTAGGTGCACCGGAGCCACTTCTAACGTTTGCACTAACTCACCCTCTTGCTCACCTGAAGAAAAGATCAAGCTCACACCGTCACTTAGGAGCGAGCCCTGGGTCTGGCACTTGTACCTTCCAGAGACACGGGCCTCGAGGGTGTTTCCTGGGGTCTCATGTAGCATTTCTGTCCCGAGGTACCACCGGTACCATTTTATGTTCTCTGCTGCGTGGACGCGAGGTGCATCGCAAGTCAGAGTCACTGCCTCTCCTTTGAAGAAGGTGGTCCATGGAGGATGGAGGGAAATCACGGATTTGGGTGTAGGTGCTGAGGAAGGAAGAGACAAGAGTCTGTGATGGAGACCCCTGTGGTCCGCAGCTCAATCTTCTGTGTGGGACAGAGCCGAGGACCTGGAACCCCCCCGGGAGGACTGTGGGTTCTCCAGCTGTGTCCGCCTTTCCTGGGAGTGTAGTGGCCACTCGGCGGTCTGTAGGAGCAGGCTGGCCTTGAGGGGAGAACCCCAGCAGGCCCCAGGCACTGTGGGAGGGCAGAGACTCGGGCTGGCCCTCAGGGAAGTCCCTCGGGACGCCCTCCTGCCCGCCCGTGCTTGGGGTCACCGAAGGCATCCAGAACACACCACCGTGGCCTAAAAAGTATCTTGAGCTGACAGTATTCCAGAATCGGTTTCATATTTTATTCTGAACACCCATACCTGCCTAACAGCAGAGCCTCGCCAAAGAATACTGTTATAAACCGCCTCCCTAGGAGCTGCCACGAAGCCCTGACCCTGATCACCAGGGACTCAACAGATACTGTCACAAACTTCAGCTGCCATCTCTCTGTTCTCCACAGGGCTGGCTTGTCTTTCCTGAACGTCGTTTGCTTTTCCGTAGGTGTCCTCCTCCCAGCCCTTTCCCTGCTCAGACGGTGTCCCAGCCCCAAGTCCTGTCTCCCTGGCTCGCAGTTTCTGCACGCCCCTCTGAAAAGGGAATACACATCTTTCCCCTGCTCACCTATCTTTTGTCTGTCTAACTGGCCGGCCCCAGTGATAAACTTAAGAGGAAAGAGACGTTGTTCTTCCCTGAGATGTTACTCCCTATTGGAAACACGCTCTCGCACACCTTCCCCTGTCTTGCTGCTGTCCAGCCCGCTGGAAGATCCGTGGGCTGATGGGCTGACCGCACGCGTGCGGCTGCACCAGGGAACGGGATTGGAAGGTGCCCTCTCGGATTCTGGCGGAGAGGCAGGAATTCAGGATGCTGGGAATAGTTAGTGGCCACAGGATGGAGTTCTGGGTGAGGGGTTGTCAGGGGAACAGAGCCAGGCGGGGGCTGGAGGTGGGGGTGCTGTGGGAGGTTTCACCCCTGCAGTAAGGGAGCAAAGCAAGGTCAAGGTTGGGGCGGGCTGGGGGGGGCTCTCTTACAGTTTTAGGTGCCTCCCTCCTCCCTCAGCTTCCCGCCCTGAGCCATCAGGACGCCTGAAGTTGTGACAGCTACCACATTTAAAAAATCAATATTCGATTCAATTTGTTCTGCAAATTGCCTGTGGTAATCTAAATTCTGTGAAGCAGAAAATAAGCCAGATTATTTCCATTTGCATTATTTTTATTTTTCAAAACTAAAAATCTCAATTATGGGGGTATGTAATTTACCATAAAATTTTAAGTGGAATCCCTTGAGGTGTGTTTTTTCTTTAGTACCTTGACACTCAGATTAGGGGGACTATCTACTTTTAAGGACCTACAAATGGTTGCTTTTCTAAAGCTTGAGACTTGAAGTATTCTTACCTTTGTCTGCAAGGATGCCCAAATAGATCTTTTAGTTACACCCAAATGTAAAGGAGATATACCCTCCCTGTTTGGGGGCAGAGATCATAGAGTAACCTGAACGCTTGTTTTAGATGAAGCAGCTCAATATTCTGTTTGGTAATGCAAACGTTCATGTGTCTCTGCAGACTTTTTCTTTCTCTCTTTAGAGGATCGCATAGAATGTCCCGTGTTTCCAGTGAGTCGTGTTTCTCCAGGAGAGAATAGAAATCCCCACTGTGTGTTCCTGGGAAGCCTCTGGGGTGGGAAGCGGGGACTGGGCAGCAGGTCTCGTGCCCCAAGGAGGGGAAGCTCCGGCTTGGGGGGGGGTGCAGCCAGATTCCTCACCGGTCCCGTACCCGCCCCCGCCGTGTGCTGCAAGAAGACACATCTTGTCAGGGCCTCGTGAGGCTGGGACTGAGTCAGTGAGCTCTAGCTTAACCACGTCTAGCAGCTGATCTAAGACACTTTCTGTATTTTATTTCTCCATCCCGGAGTGTTTAACAAAGTCCTGTCAAGTTACAGTCTCTTCCCAGTTGGGCAGCGATTTGTGGACGATGGTCTGTGTCCACAGCACCGAGCAGAAGGACTGCGGAGCCAGGAGCCGCAGGGAGAAGGTGCACACCAGCTGGCTGGGGCTGGATGACAGCGAGCAGCCCCCAGGATGAACCTGGTGCTCTTGAAGGGATTTTCAGGGGTTACTACAACACCTGGAGACGGCTCCCCCAGAAAGGGGGCCTTCTTGCTGACCAGAGGATGGGTGCTCAGAGGCATCGTGATCTGAGCTATTCACAGCATGCTGGCGTTTGGGGTGCAGTGGTTGCAAGTGGTTGTGGCTGTGCTGGGTTGGGCCAGGGAGGGTGGAGAAGCAGAGCTGTTTGCACCCTGGGCCGCCCCCCAACCCCACTGGGGTCTCAGCCTCTTCCTAGTGTCCTTCCAGGGGCTGTGCACTCTGTCAGGTTAGCCAGCACCCCACACACCCCTCCTTGACCTCCATGTCCTGTGTCCCAGGCCCCCTAGGCTCACCCGACACAATGGTGGGTTTGGCCCAAAAGTGTGACTCCCAGCTCCTAGGGTCGGGGTCGTAGGATGGGGTGACGCTGCCCTGCCTGGAGTCCTCAGGACAAGGCGGCGGGTACCACACCCCTCTTACCAGCATTCCGTGCAGAGATGGTCACTAGAATATCTAGAAACATAAAAGAAAAAAGGAAAAGGGGACCTACTTACCGAGCTGTCCACCAACTGTGGCTGCAAGAGAGGTGAGGGCCAAGGTCAGCAAGAGGCATGGAGCCGAGCCCTCCCACCCAGAGAGCCCGCTGCCCGCCCCAGCCCATCCGAGGGCGGGAGAGGAGCGCCCAGCTCCACCACCCGGAGAAGCCAGGGCCACGGAGGCCTGAAGCTGAGCCGTGCGGTGCTGGGCGAGCTACGGCAAGCTCCCAAGCCTCCCTCTCCTCATCGGTCACATGGGGACCATAAAAGTGGGCTCGTAATCTTATTTCAGTGAGTTGAATTAGTAAGTCTTCCATGAATGGCCACTGTCACTCTTCGTCAGACACGACTGTGCTGCGGCTGCCAATCCTACCGGGCTTCACCGTCTCCTTGCCCGGATCGTTAGTCTCCTTCAGCACCAAGGAAAGTCAAGTCACACCCAAGCCCGGACACCCTGAGCAAAGCCACCTCCTCCATGAAGCCTTCTTGGATGCCTCTGGGCTGCAGTGCCCTCACGCTGCTCTAGGCTCAGAACACTGCAGTCACAGCTCCCTGGGGCTGGAAATCGGACACGCAGCGCGGGAGGGTGGCTAACAGCGTGGTTCCGATGCCATGGGTGGGTTTCCCTCCCGACTCTGCCACTGCACGGAGCTTAAGGCAGGAGACTGTCTCTGTGCCTTGGCTCCCTTATCTGTAAAATGGGATTTATAGCAGTTCCAGCTCATTGATTGTTAGAAGACTGGATAGATCAATACATGGGATACTCCTTGAAGAGCGTCTGGCATAGTCAGGGCTCAGCAATTAATTATTAATTACTATCAGCAAGAGTGAATAATTATCACACATTATCTCATAACCCACTGTGTAATATTTTTGTCTATATTTTCAAGTCAAATGCTCTTGCATTTGTACCTTGATTTCCTCATTAGAGGGTCAGCTCTTGGGGGCAGGGACTGTCCCCCACATCCCTGTGTCTTCCCGCTGCCTAGCACTGCGCTGTGCCCAGTGCCCTCCTTCATTCACTTCTTACCGAGTTCCCATGATGTGCCAGCCACACTAATAACTGTCCCTTTAGTTAGGGTCTGGACATGCAGCTGGGAATAAGGCAAACACGCTTCATAAATATTTACTGTATGACTGCCTGGTCTTTGTTTCCCTAGTTTGAGCTACTAGGAAATCAGTGCCTCGCTTGGACAAATATTGAAAATAGTACAGAAGCAGGGGGAAATAATCGAAGGGAAACCATCTTATTTCTGCTCCTTTCCTGCTTTTTGCAATTATCAGAGCAGGCATGATCGTAGGATGCCAAGAAGGAAATAACTATTCCCAGCAGAAGCTCTTTCTACATCAGCTCGCAATCAGGACATTCACACAGACTCAGTTCATCTTTCAGCCTGGGTCTTCACGATCTGTGACTGGGGGGGTAACTGAATCTAACTGTAGATTTTTTTTAAGTTTTTTTTTTTTTTAAAGTAATCTCTACACCCAACGTGGGGCTCACACTCACAACCCTGAGATCAAGAGTCAAGCGCTCTACCGACTGAGCCAGCCGGGCAGCCCCTAACTGTAGATTTTTTTAATATGGAAAAATTAGCCCACTTCTCGAATAGGAGGAATTTTTTGTAGGCAATTAAACGCAAGTGACGGACGCACTTTTGGAAATCAATCCCCCCTAATCCCCTCAGTATCTTCCCCTTTGTTCATTCTCTGTGGCTCTGAAATAGGAGCATAAATAATCCACTTGTCCCAAAGCCCACAGAGGAAGCCTTTTGCTCGTGGAGAGGCCCTGGCTCCTCCTCGAGCGGAGGCTTTTCCCCACCAGCACTTACCAAGGAACAGCAGAGACGCCCACGGGAGCATGGGAGCATATGCCCTGGGATCCCGAGCAACAGCTCAAACAAGGGGCAGGCCCAGCGCCCGGCAGCGAGGCAGCAAGGTGCTTCTGAGAACAGCTCGTGCAGTCATAAAGTGAAAAGGGGAAGTAGAGGAATCTTTCTTAAAATACCAGCAGCATGTTACCTGGTGTCAGAGACTCCTGAGGATGAAAGTCACTATTTAACAGAATGCCTGACGTAGTACTCTGACTTCTTGGTGTGAAAAGCTCCTCAAAGCTTTAGTTACCATATTTTCAGAAACTTCCAGCCACTGTCTTCCAAGGACAAGGCAACACATTCTCTCTGCTACCAGATACCAGACAAGACTGCAATCCTGCTGAGATTCACATAATCCAAGGATGTACCTGAATCACTCCAGAGCTGGAGAAGTTCTCTTTCTTTTTCTTTTTTTAAAAAAGATTTTATTTACTTACTTGAGAGGGCGTGTACAAGCAGCGGGGGGAGGGGCAAAGAGGAGGGAGAAGTGCACTCCCCGCTGAGCAGGGAGCCCGATGCAGGGACTTGATCTCAGGACCTTGAGACTGTGATCTGAGCTGAAGGCAGACGCCCAACTGACTGAGCCACCCAGGCGCCCCAAGAGGTCCTCTTTCAATGCAGAAAGACACTCCTCTGAACCCCGAGGCCTCTGCTGGACCACTTCCAACTGACCATTCATATATGGTGAAGCATCTGAATCATAAGACAACTCATACCCTGTCTGACACATATGAAAATATCTTGAGTCATTTGTCTCAGAGGAAGTGACACACTTTGATCTGAGTAGGACAGAGACTGCAGAATAAATGATAGCCTCATCTCGCTCTTCCTGGAGAATGGACTGTAACATTTTTAACTTAGTGTTCTAGAATCGAAAATCTGTTACAGGAACGTCTTGACAAATCCATCAGGATTCTGTAACGGTATGTTATGCATGGGGCCGGGGGCTGGGAGTGCAGTGGTAAGCAAGGCTCAATAAGGTTTACTTACTTCTAGTGGGGCAGGCAGAAGAGCCAGCAAGGAGTTAAACACAGAATGGAAAGTGCTCTGATTGTCCAGTAGGAGGGAAATCTAACCCAATTCTGGAGACCCAGGAGAGGTTTCTCAGTGGAAGAAACACCCAAGTTGAGAAGGCATCATTCCGGGACTGAGTGATGAGCATGGACAAGGGTAGTAGATGGTCACCATCACCATCATCCTCACCCTCAAGATATCCATGAGTAAATGACCCTTGATCTTTCTGTGAGCAGAAGACATCAGACAGAGGATGAATTATGAATGTTTGCTATTGTTCTAATGTAACGACGTGTGTCCATGCGCCTACGACAGCTTCTTTCTCTAACGAGCGCTTGTATTGAACATCAGTCATATTCCATGCAATGTCCAGGACCTTAGAAGTATAATAAGATGAATGAAATGTATCTCTTTCAAAAACTTATAAAATGTGGTACGAGCCATAGCAGCTACAGACATCAGGCCCTCTGGGGACATAAAGGGGGTCAAGTGGCATTCGGTCCTTCGTCACCTAGGCCTCTGACCTCTGTGCCCTGTCTCCGCTGCCTTCATTTATCTCAGTAGGGCTGAAATGAGATCCTGCCTCTGCCTCTTATTAGTTACGTGACCTTTGGTCAAGTGCCTAGTTAGCATCCTCCGGCCCCACTCTCAGTACTGGTACAAAGGAGGTAAAAATAATATCCACTTAAGGGGGATGTTGGTATCGATGTCTGTATGAGAGCAACGACGCTGTAGAGTCTGCAGCCCAGAGCCCGGCGCACCTTGAACGCTCAATGTCACTATGACTATTCTACGGCCATGAACTGGGACATGCTTCACGACTGATACAGTTTTCAACCAACAAGAGTGGTTTACAGAAGTGGAAAACTCGAATATTATTGATTGACGAAGGCTTGAGGGGAAGTTGAAGTCCTATCCTCTGTTCTCTTGTTTCTGGCATTAATTTTCTTGAAAGAGGGGCTTTCAATTAGCAAATAAAATTTTGCACTCATGACATGATATAAGATGTCCAAACACACAAGTCATGTTTACAGTCAACTTCCAAAGACTTAAATCGTTTAAGTAAGTCAAGTACTGTTTTTTGGGTAGTGTTTGAGTCACTGAGATGAATGTCTCAGTTACGGCCCCAAAACTGTGGTTTCATTTCCAAATATCAGCTGTGCATTGCATAGACCACAATTTACTAGGCCGTGGCTTGATTAATCGGGGACAGTGTTTAGATTTTACATGAAGGGAAGCCAGTAATACTTGGAGTCAGTGACTGTTAGAAACTGTGAAAATCCTGATTTTTTCATATTAAGAAAAAAGCATTTAAAATCCTATAGTTCTTAAGACTAAACTTTAAATTTTGGAATGAGTTTAGACTCACAGAAAAGTTGCAAAGACAGGAGAGAAAGTGCCCATATATCGCACACCCCGTTCCCGTTTCCCTGAACGTGGTCATCTCACACTACCCCAGTTCATTTGTCAATACTAAGAAACCAGGACGAGTACCTTAGGATTAGCTCCACTCTTTATTCATATTTCATCAGCTTTTCCATTAATATGCCTTTCCTCTTCCAGTATCCCATCCAAAATACCACACTGCATTTGTTTACCTCTCCTTAGATTCCCCTGATTTGTGACCGTTTCTCAGTTTTCTGTGTGTGTGTGTGTGACCTTGATGGTATTGAAGAACATCGGTCAAATATTTGGTAATGTCTTCTGGGTTTGGGTTCGTCTGGTGTTTTGCTCATGAAAACCTGAGACTGGAGGTACGGGCTTTCAGAAAGAATGACACAGGAGTCGCGTGTACTTCTTGTCATGTCCTATCAGGGAAACCGTGATAGCGGCATAATTATCGCAGGTGCTGCTCATCGTGAGCATGTGGTTCTGGGGGTCTCACCAGGTTTCTTCAGCGCGAAGATGCTGTTTGTCCCTTTCCACACTTGGTTGTTTGGAAACAAGCCACGAGGTCCCGTCCCTCGGGGGGTGGGACAAGGAAGGGCTTACGTTCCAGCTCTGTAAGGGAGACTTGTCTCTTCTCCTTCATCTATTTCTTTGTTTGTGTGTGTGTTCATTCACTCATTCATTCGTTCCATCAATCATTTGTTTCTATCACCACAGACTCATGTATATTTGTTTTGTACGTTAGGTAATAATCCAAGGCTAGGCTACTCTATTTCATTGCTCAAACGTTTCCCGCTTTGGCCACTCGGGGCTCTTTCAGATTAGCTCCTGTGCCCCTTTGACGTGCCCTCATTCTTCTGCTTTTCTCTGAGCACTTCTGGAACTTTCTGGCACTACAAGATATTCTGGGCTTGTCTTGTGTTTTCCTGCCCCTGCTCTAGAATCAGCCATTCCTCCAAGGATCTCTGTCTTTTTCTGTAGAAAATGGCACTTAGAAACTAAGATCTGGGTGCTGGGTATGTTCCTCACTACTGGGGGAATGTTATACATTTTTAAGTAAGAGACAGGAAATCTGTCATCCTTGAGAGTACTTTATGAGTGGAAAAATACTGAACAGATAAATCTGTTATAAATCTTGTTATCAACAGGATTGCTCCCAAACCAGCAGCTGTGGTTTCTGTAACCATTGTCCCGAGGCTGACTTGCAAGTGACAGAAGAGTAAGTCCTTAGAATTGTCCACTTTGACCCTCGGAGAAAAGGCAGTGCGTCCGCTCCGTTACATGTCTTTTTTTTTTTTTTAATGTTTTATTTATTCATGAGAGTCAGAGAGAGAGAGAGAGAGACAGAGGCAGAGGGAGAAGCAGGCTCCCCGCCTAGCAGGGAGCCCGATGCGGGACTCGATCCCAGGACCCTGGGATCATGACCTGAGCCGAGGGCAGACGCTTAACCATCTGAGCCACCCAGGCACCCCCGCTCCGTTACATGTCTTTGGAGGCCAGTGCTATCTGCAAGACTTCTTTCACTTTTCCCACATACAGATACGGACGGTTCTAACCTCCAATGGCAAAAGACACTCTTCTTTGGTATTAGAAAATTTTCCAAGATGGTCACTTGTTCTAAGTCTAGACTCCTTCACGTTCATGAACATACAGATCTTTCTGCTCACAAACTGGACCAACTGAGAGGTGCCTGGGTGGTGGAGTTGGTTAAGTGTCCATCTCTTGGTTTCGGCTCAGGTCATGATCTTAGGGTTGTGAGATCGAGTCCCACATCAGGCTCCGCGCTCAGCTCCGAGTCTGCTTGAGACTCTCTCCCTCTCCCTCTGCACTCCTCTATGCTCTCTCTCTCTCAAATAAATAAATCTTTAAAACAATGGGCCAATTGAGAACTGAATCACGGCTCTTTAGTGTCCAGACTCGCAACCCACATTGATGTGGTAGAGGGTGTGGAACTAGATTTGCAGCCTCAGCCCTGGAGGTGGATTTGCTCTGTCACTCGTGAGCTATATAGGTCAAAGTCAATGCACTTCACCACTTTGAGATTTATTATCTTTTTTAAACAAAACGCTAATTTTCCCCTACATTTTTTAAAATTTAAAACCTTTAGAAAAATGGCAAGAAAACTGTGGAAAGAGCCAAGATGTCCATCGACAGATGAATGGATAAAGAAGAGGTGGTATATATATATACAATGGAATATTATGCAGCCATCAAAAGGAATGAGATCTTGCCATTTGCAACGACGTGGATGGAACTGGAGGGTGTTATGCTGAGTGAAATAAGTCAATCAGAGAAAGACATGTATCATATGACCTCACTGATATGAGGAATTCTTAACCTCAGGAAACAAACTGAGGGTTGCTGGAGTGGTGGGGGTGGGAGGGATGGGGTGGCTGGGTGACAGACATTGGGGAGGGTATGTGCTATGGTGAGCGCTGTGAATTGAGCAAGACTGTTGAGTCACAGATCTGCACCTCTGAAACAAATAATGCAACATATGCTAAGAAAAAAAAAGAAGAAGAAGAAGATAGCAGGAGGGGAAGAACGAAGGGGAGGAAATCGGAGGGGGAGACGAACCATGAGAGACTATGGACTCTGACAAACACACTGAGGGTTCTAGAGG